TATACTATGCAGAAGACATTGACAAGGCCTCACAGTGTCTCATTTATATAGGTCTGGAAGATGGCTGAAGTGTTACAAAGATTAAAAGATAAAACAAGATATTCAAAATTGCTGTACTTGATATGAAAAGCTGTTTTTCAAATGTTGTCTTCATTAACTCTGATTCTATGATAGATATCTCATATATCAATCTTTGAGAATATCTTTGCTTCAGATAATCAATTGATTATCTTGTTAATTAACAGTAATGAATAGTAATTCTTAACTGTCATCTTATTGAGACCTCTGTAGTCTATGCATAGATATAGTCTATTATTCTTCTTAAGTACAAAGAGTATAGACATCTCTGCTGAACTCTTTGATGAATATATTCAGTTCTTTGATTGCACTTCTTTAAGATATTTGTGCAGAACATTCAACTTCTTTACAGACAAGTTGTAAAGAGATCTGTACAGTGCTGTTGCACTGTCTTCAAGACAAATCTTATATTATATCTTGATATCAGGAAACTTTGCTGCTTTCCTTTTCAAAAAGACATTCTTAAAATCTGTAAAGAGATATCATGTATGTTCATCTTCAATGACAGATACTACTGCTAATCTTGCAGTGAGGATGATAACTTCTTCATCTGTTCTCAAGTCTCAATCATCTGCTATGCAGTATATCAACTCAATCTTTTTCTCAAGATTCTTCTGATGAAACTTTTCAGATTTCTCTATCATTATCTCTTCATCAGTGAGACAGTACCATCACATCTGAGTGACTCAGTCAATGAGAGAATTGTTTTCTCTCAATCACAGAAGACCTAGAATGACATTCTCATCTATGATATTGACTGTATGAAGGAGCAGACTGCTCTTCTTGAAGATTTCTTCTAAGTCTGTGGCCACATACTTTGCTTAAATTATGTCAAAACAGTGGCATTTTGTTTCATCTGTAAATTTCACATGATCTGACAGGCCTATCTTCTTTCAATTCTTTATCAAAGAAAAGGAATAGAATATGAAGTTAGTATTCACTCTGAAGTTAAGTAGACACCTCACTGATATCTTCTCATTCAGAGTATGCATTGTAATCATAACATGAACTCAGAGATATGAGAATTGTCAATTCTTTTCTTTCTCTTCTTTATCTTTCACAGATACATTTGTCAGAAGAGGAGTTAACTTTGAGAAGATATCTTCTCAGTTTCTTCTCTTCTTCAGCTTCTTATAATTACTAATATAGTGATTACCAGCTTCACAGTTGAAATAAAGATCTTTGTCAAATCTTTTTTAATATTTCTTCACAGTGAGTGAAGAATCAGAACACTTGAAATTCTTCTTTACTTTCTTCACACTGAAGTCATTATAATGCTGTTTAGATCTCATCATTGATTGCTTAGAAGAGGTCTTGTTAGCCTTTTTCTCAGAGAATTGATTATTCAAATAGATTCAGAAAGTCAGGTTGATAAGCTCAGTACAATTGATTAATGAACTCTGATATTATAATATTATTATCTGCACCTTATAAGTCAGCTTCATGAGATAAAGCTGCATTTTTAATTAATTCAAATCATCAGTCAGTTCCTCTCAATATTCTTCAAATCTTGTATTGAAATCAGAAGGATTTTCATCATCTCATTAATATAATGAGTTGAATCACTGCACTGCTGTGAAGTCACAGTTGCAGTGATCTTTAATTTGATTCAGTAGAAAGTTCTTGAATTCTTCTCAAGTCATGACAGTATTGATACACTCAAGCTCTCTCTTCTTAATGATCCAAGTAGTCACAGAGATGCCTTCAAGGAGGTTGACAGTGTATATTACTTGTACCTCATGAGTATTATACTGACTCAGGTTAAGGCAGAATTTTCATTCAAGAGTATAGATAAAGCTGTGAAATTCAGATAAGATATTTCCCTTATATCTCAGTGAATCTCTGACCTTAATCTCTCTATCTCCATGATAGATGTAGGTGTGTAGAGGCCGCGGCGGTGGCAGAGCAGTTGAAGAGCTCATGTCAAAATGCACAGCAGTTTCAGGAATCTCAGATTCCTGCTGAGGTAGAGATGTACACACTCTAGAGAATGATGTAGTGTTTTCCTCAGAGAATGAGGTCAGGTCAGTCCCAGTGCAGGTGTATGAAATCATATTGATCTGTTAGAGCTTGACTGATTCAAACATGTAATCAGATCAAGTGATTCAAATTGTAATATAACAGAACTGAAGTGATGACTAGTCAGCAGCAATATGTAGAGATAGTTGTTTGAGAAGCTGTATGAGTGAGCTTGACTATCTTGCTTGAATAGTGAGCTCATAGACTACAGGGTTATTGTGAGGATATCACAGATATGGTACTTAGTATACTAAGAAGATTGTATGAGGCATGCAGTAACTCTTGTGTATATTCCAGTCACAGTAAAAACAAATCACTGACTCCTTTAATGAGAAGCCAGCATCTAGCTATTCTATATAGACAATGAGCGGATACCCTCCTCCCATTCCACAAGCAAGGATAGCCAGAGTGATACCTCAGCAGCGCCTCATTGCCAAGGAAGAGTAATCTGCTGACCTCGTATAGAAGCGGGGTTCTCATACCCATCAATCGGATCTTCCTATGATATATCCGAATGATGTCATAGGGTGGTTGGAAACCGGTTCAGACAGGATGCGGGATGGATGGAATCATCCGCATGGAAGTGATGGGCCGTGTGGCACCGCAACAGGGCCTTGGCGCGGCCGGGAGCGTGACAATATCAGAGTAAAATATGCTTTTCAAAATATCTTATTTATATGCAGCAATTTTCAACTCAGTCTGAATTGATAAAGATTTATAATATGATTATATCTCAACAGCTTCAGTCTTGATTCTTATAATTTAATGAAGAAAATACTGATCTTTATTCTTATATTTCATCAGTAGATTGAAATTCAATTCAAATATTATATTCATATGAATATTAAGTTGATTTAGAATCTGAATAATTAACATATATTTCCTCTCATCTTTCATTGCAATTAATTCAAATAAGACAAATGATAGATTTAAGAATGATAATCTTTGTATGATCTGAGAAGTATAATAAATGACTTCTTAAACTTTCAGAACTATTATATAAGACCTCATTCTCATGTCTGAATATCAGTGATCATGTTCAACAAAACACACTCTCTTAATATAAGATATATTATTCAATCTTAATTTGCAGTAGCATTTGAGATTTTCACACTAGTACTGAATAAAATCAGAAGAAAAAAGAGATTTATTTATTGATGAATATTGCATGAAGTTATTAGAATAATATTTAATAGAGCTCTCTTAACTGTGAGATTATTATAACTCAGTGAGATTGTTGACAAGTTTCATCATTTCTATATACATCTATCACTAAAAATTTGAGGATTTGAGAAGAGCAGATATTAATGAAATTGAATTTTAAAAGTAAAGTAATCTCATAGAGAATACAGTGAGATTTTTCTGAGCAGAACTCAGAGTTGATATTTATATTAATAACACTATTGAAATTGACATTTTCTTAACTGATAAAATTGGAAATTATGCTCTACATTGCTTTTTCAGAGTTGATAGATCTTCAGAGAGCAGACTTATCAGTAATATATTCTTCAATAAATGCAGAATTTACAGCAGTGATTGATAGTTTTTTCAGAAAATACTTAACTCTTCAGCTCAGAGTCTCATTGTTAAAATAAATGAATTCATTTCAAAGTTACTGCATTTGTCAGCTATGTCAATTACTGAATCAGAATCAATAAATTCATCAGTAAAATAAGAGATCATAGTAATATCTTTAATAACAGTATCTTTTATAGTAATATCTTCAGTAACTGACTTATCAGAATCTTCTTGATTATTATTTTCTGAGATATTTTTCAGAATATTCTCTGAGATATTCTTCTCAGTATCTGCTTTCAAAAGCCACTCTATATACTTGATACTATCAGCAGTATTCTTGTTATATGACTCTGTCTTTAGACAATGTTAGTTTTTATAATAATAAGACATTAAAAGTGATAAATGTGCTGAGAATAGCAATACTTCTTCATCAGAAACATCATTATCTGAATCACTGTCAGTAAAATTCTTATTTGCAGTTTCTGAGAAAAGAGAGCTCTGAGATTGAAATTCTGATTGATCATTTTCAGATTCTTGTCTAGAGACAGATAGCAGATAGCATTTCAGATTTTAATTAAACAGACATGATATTTTGCTTTCTGATATGATTTGTAGAAACAAGTTGTATAGTTGAAAAGATATGATTGAAGTGAGTGAGCAGTCTTGATGAAATAAAGAGATGAGATTGAATTACTGAAAAGAAGTATATTAATAAGAGCTGCAATCAGTAATAATCTACATTAAATTAATATTAACAACCAAACTGTTTTCTTTATTTCAAGATTATATTTCTGTAAGCTTCTGAAATCAGTATTATTCATTGACTAGAATTTCAATCTAATTTTAAAAATGAATACTCTTATTGACTCTGATATACTAGATCTTTCTGAACTTTCTCATCTAGTAGATTTAATAAGACAATTCACTGATTTCAAAGAAAATTCAATATTAATATTTCTTAATCATAGCAGGTATACAATGACATCAATGAAGAATGTTCAATAGATGAGAAGAACAGTAAGAAGAACTTAAACTTCTCACTGATAAGCAATTTATCAAGAAGACATTGAAGAACTAGACATCTCAATACTGAAATGTTTAAGAAGAAGATTTATCTGACAGAGTAATATCTGTAGCTAGAGATTAAATGAATATATTTTCTGTTCTTTACAAAGAAAAATATCGACCAGACAGTTATAAAAATAATCAAAATCAATGATAAAATATTATATACATTCTCATTCAGCAGAACAACAATCCTGAACATAGTCAAGACCTGGAAATCAAGATCATCAAAGAAAATGAAGATAAGTATTTAGATTTAGCAAAATAGCAACTTTTCAGCAGAATATAATAAATTCTTGATAGAAGATTATAAATCTCTGATGAGAATTCAGTGAGAAATCTTAGAGAAATCTAAACTTTTGTAGTTAAGTTAGCTAACTTAATTTCAATATAGAATGTGGCGGGCTGCGCCCGATCAATCATATAGACTATTCCGTTACACTCCACAGATTCCACGTACGCTCCGATCCTCGGCCATTCTCGATCGCCGATCCTCGGCCGCCACCCCGATCAATCATATAGACTATTCCGTTACACTCCACAGATTCCACGTACACTCCGATCCTCGGCCATTCTCGATCGCCGATTCTCGGCCGCCACCCCGATCAATCATATAGACTATTCCGTTACACTCCACAGATTCTACGTACGCTCCGATCCTCGGCCATTCTCGATCGCCGATCCTCGGCCGCTACGAACGCGCGTATATTCTTCCGCCCCGAAGCTCCACCGCGTACGCCACCACATACGCGCATAAATATCCACCTTGATCACTGATTCTCGCACTTTCTCTTTCTTTCCTTCTCTAACATTTTTATTTTTGTTATATAAGACCTATCAATATTATACCGATCTATTCGGCGTAGGCCTCTTACATAGAATCATGTTTAATGAGAAAAGATAAAGAGCAGAGTAAGTTCAGAGATAATCAGCTTACATAATTGTTACAAAGAAATAATTATCTTTGATTACTTTTATAAGTTATTCACTACTAAAAAGTTCTTTCTAGTTTTTTATTAAGTGTGAGAAGTTATTAACTTTGATCAATTCTCTGAGTGAGAATAATAGTATATGAAACATAAGTTAGCATAATTCAAATTGTTTCAAAAACTAGAAACTGATTTAAAAAACAGAGATATATGATAATCTGATAACTCAGGTTAAAATGTTTGATAATACTGATATGAATGAAAATTCTGCTGCAGTTATGATACAATAATAAAATATTCTGATATTTTGAGATCTAATGAGTGATGTTTCTGAATATCAGAAAATTATCAGAAATGACTTTATAAAGATGATTCAGAATACTCTGACAGTTAAAAAGAGATATGCAGTGAAAGATGCATGATAGAAGATGTGAAAAAAGATTAAATTTTTAAAAATACTTTCAGTAAAAGACAGATAATATAGAGATTTCTGATACAATCTATTTCTATTTCAATATATTTATTTTCTATTATCACGCCCCCGGCCGTGTCAAGACTCTGTTGCGGTTTCACACAGCTCATTGCTTTCATGCGGATGATTTCATTCTGTCTGAACCAGTTTTCAACCACTCTATGACATCATTTGAATATATCATAGAAAGATTCAATTGATGAATATAAGAACCTCACTTCTATACAAGGTCAGCAGATTACTCTTTCTTAATAATAAGATATCACTGAGATATCACTTCAGCTATTCTCACTCATGAAATGAGAGAAGAATATTTACTCATTATCTATATAGAATAGCTAGATGCTGACTTCTTATAAAAGAAATCAGTGATTCATTTTTCTTCTACTAAAATATATATAAGAGTTACTGCATATCTTATATAATCTTCTTAGTATACTAAGTATTATATCTGTGATATTCTCATAATAATTCTGTAGTCTATGAGCTCACTATTTAAGCAAGATAGTCAAGCTTACTTATATAACTTCTTAAATAACTATCTCTATGAAATATCACTGACTAGTCACTACTTTGATTCTATTATGTTATAGTTTGAATTACTTAATCTGATTATACATTTGAATCAGTCAAGCTCTAACAGACTGATATAATCTTATACATCTGCACTGAGACTGATTCAATCTCACTCTCTGAAAGAAATACTTCATTATTCTCTAGAGTGTATATATCTCTATCTCAGCAGAAATTCAAGATTTCTGAACTCACTGTATATTTTGATAGAAGCTCTTCAACTGCTCTGCTATCACTGTGACCTCTACACATTTATATCTATTATGAAGATAGAGAGATTAAGATCAGAGATTCTCTGAAATATAAGAAAAATATCTTATCTGAATTTCACAGCTTTGTCTGTACTCTTGAACAGAAATTCTGCTTTAATCTGAGTCAGTATAATACTTATAAGTTATAAGTAATATACATTATCAACCTTCTTGAAGATATCTCTGCAACTACTTGAGTTATTAAGAAGAGAGAGCTTGAGTGTATCAATACTACTATAACTTGAGAAGAATTCAAGAACTTTCTACTGAATCAAATTAAAGATCACTGTAATCACAGCTTTACAGCAGCACAGCAGTTCAACTTATTATATTAATAAGATAATGAGAATTCTTTTAATTTCAATACAAGATTTGAAGAATATTGAGAGGAATTAACTGATAATTTGAATCAATTAAAAACACAGCTTTATCTCATGAAGCTGACTCATAAGATGCAAATAATGATATTATAATATCAGAGTTCATTAATTAATTATACTAAGCTTGTTAACCTGGCTTCTCAGATCTATTTAAATAATCAATTCTCTGAGAAAAAGATTAACAAGATCTCTTCTAAGCAATTAATAATGAAATTTAAACAGTATTATAACAGCTTCAGTGTAGAGAAAGTAAAGAAGAATTTCAAGTATTCTGATTCTTCACTCACTGTAAAGATATATTAAAAAAGATTTGATAAAGATCTCTGTTTCAACTGTGAAGCTGATAATCACTATATCAGTGATTGCAAGAAGTCAAAGAAGAGAAGAAACTGAGAAGATATCTTCTTAAAGTTAACTTCTCTTCTGACAAATATATTCACAGAAGATAAAGAAGAGAAAGAAATACAGAATTGATAATTCTTATATCTCTGAGTTTATATTATAATCACAATGTATACTCTGAATAAGAAGATATTAGTGAGATATCTACTTAACTCTAAGATGAATATCAACTTCATATTCTATTTCTTTTCTTTAATGAAGAATTGAAAGAAGATAGATCTATCAGATTATATGAAATTTACTGATAAAATGAAATGTCACTGTTTTAACATAATTCAAGTGAAGTGTGTGATCACAGACTCAGAAGAAATCTTGAAGAAAAGCAGTCTGCTTCTTCATACAGTCAATATTATAGATGAGAATATCATTCTAGATCTTCTGTGATTGAGAGAAAACAATTCTCTCATTGACTGAGTCACTTAGATGTGATAATACTGTCTTACTAATAAAGAGACAGTAATAGAGAAATCTGAAGAGTTTCATCAGAAGAATCTTGAGAAAAAGATTGAGTTGATATACTGTGTAGTAGATGATTGAGACTTAAAGACAGATAAAGAAGTTATCACTCTTACTACAAGATTAGCAGCAGTATCTGTCATTGAAGATAAATATACATAACATCTCTTTACAGATTTTAAGAATGTCTTTTCAGAAAGAGAAGTAGTGAAGTTTTCTGATATCAAGATATAATATAAGATTCATCTTGAAGATGATATAACAGTACTGTACAGATCTCTTTACAACTTATCTGTAAAGAAATTAGATATTCTATATAAATATCTTGAAGAAGCACAATCAAAGAACTGAATTCATTTATTAAAGAGTTCAGCAGAAGCATCTATACTCTTTATATCTAAGAAGAATAATAGACTACATCTATATGTAGACTACAGAGACCTCAATAAGATGTCAGTTAAGAATTACTATTCATTATCATTAATTAATGAGATGATTGATCAATTATCTGAAGTAAAGATGTTCTCAAAGATTGTAATATAAGATATCTATCACAGAATCAGAGTTAATAAAGTTGACATTTGAAAAACAGCTTTTTGTACTAAGTACAGCGATTTTGAATATCTTGTTTTATCTTTTGATCTTTGTAACACTTCAGTCATCTTTCAGATCTATACAAATGAGACACTGCAGAGCCTTGTTAATGTCTTCTGCATAGTATATCTGAACAACATTCTAATCTTCTCAAAATCAGAGAAAGAACATGATATTCATATTCAAGAAGTGTTGAGTTACTTGAGACAGTATTAACTCTATACAAACACTGAAAAATGCTCATTCTACATGCAGGAGATTGATTTCTTAGATTATGTTATTAAGATGAACAGCATTTCAATGAACAGCAGTCAGGTCTTCATTATTGAGAACTGACTGACACTGCAGATATATCATGAGATGCAGATATTTGTAGAATTTGTGAATTTCTACAGATAATTCATCTATATATATTCACAGATTACTGTCTCTCTTACAGATCTGTTAAAGAGAAGTATGAAAGATAGAAAAATAAGATTATTTATTATTATTCAAGATACTGTGCAGGCATTTACAGAATTGAAATAAACTTTCACATATATTATAATACTGAATCACTTTAACTCTGACTTACTCAGTCAGTGTAAGACTGATATATCTGAGAATAAAATCTGTGAAATCTTTTCACAGTTGACACTGAAGATCTTTCAATATTGAAAGAATTAGAGAATAATCATCTCTGAGAAAACAGATAATGAATTATCTGTGAAAGAAGACTTTTTCACAGAATCTACAAGATACTGTGAATGAAGATCAGTGATCTTCTTCTTTAAGAAGTTATTACTCACACAGAGAAGATATAATACTCATACTCAGAAGATGTTAATAATTATTAAATTCTTTAAGATCTGATAATATTATCTTCAGAGTAGTAGATACTCAGTGCAAGTTCTCACTGATCATGTTAATCTGTGTTACTTCTTGATAACAAAGAGCTTGATAGAATATCAAGTCAGATGAGCAGAGCTGCTTTTAAAGTATAATTTCTATATTTAATACTGTTCAGATCAGTTTAATCTCACTAACACACTGTCTAGACAGTCTGATTATAATATTATTAATGTAAAGAAGAATTCTATAAAAGAATCTCTGTCATCACTGTAGAAGAAGCTGACTGCAGAGAATTAAGATTCTCTGAAGCTTAGAAATGACACTGATAAGACAGCTATGTGACTCAGTATAGAAGATGAAAGAAAACTCAGATCTCTGCAGAGAACTGATACTGAAGATTATAAGCTTCTTATATTATATCTTATAATTATTGAATTGATAAAGAATGAAATGATCTACAATCTTTCAATCTAACTACTTTTAAAATTTATTAATGAGTTATAGAAGAGAGATATCTCTACTACAGCTTGAATTCAGAAGTTGAAGAAGAAAGAATCTGATTTGAACTTGAAAGAGACAGACTCTGAGCAGAGTAATACTGCTAAGAAATCAAGTTACTGATAACTAAAAGAATATAAACTTCTACTGCTGAATAATTCAGTCTTCATTTCTCATAGCAGAGCAGTGTGTTAGAAGTTATTAAGAATTCATCATAATAATCTTCATATAGAGCACTTCAGATTAGAGAAGACTGAGAAGCTTCTAAAATATAAATATATTTAAGATAAGCTCTGAACAGATATTAAAGAGTATATTAAAACTTATAATATCTGTTAAAGAATAAAGATTCTGTGATATAAGTAATACAGTAAATTAACATCACTGCCTATTTTAAAGAGCTTATAATAGAATCTATCAATGAATTTGATAGTTGATCTGCTGGAGTCAATAAGAGTTAAAGAATATAAGTTAATTTTAATCATTGTTAACTACTTTATAAAGATAATCAGATATATCTCTATTTATAAAAAGATTAATGTCTCTGAATTGACTGATCTGTTTTTAAATATTATTATTTATAATCATAGTGCTCTGAAATTATTGATAACAGATCAAGAATCTCTCTTTATCAGTAAATACTGATCAGCTTTTTACTATTATCTTATAATAAGACATCTTCTCAGTACTGCATTTTATTCATAGACAGATAATCAGACTGAATATCAGAATCAGATACTAAAACAGCATCTTTAAGTATTCTATTTATATTATCAGAATGATTGACTTAAATATCTTCTAACTGCTAAATTCATATGTAATAATGTAAAGAATGTAATCTTAAAGATATTTTCTTTCTATACTTATTATAAATATAATTCTTCATTACTTAGTGATGTTATAAATGATGTTTCAAAGAAGAGAATAGATAGTCAGAATATTAAATAGATATAGAGAACAGAGTATCTCTCAGTATCAGAAGTAAAAGTGACATTGAAACTTTTAAATAAAATTCATGAGAAGACAGTGAAAAG